GTATGCTACCAGAAAGATGGGAAAAGGTAGTGGCTAGCGATGGACAATACTTCGAATAAAACATTATGTACCGTTCTTTCACAATAAATGCCCAATTTTTGATAAAAAACGGCGGAAACTTATTTATACTCCTAATATATATATACAGGGTGTCCGAAAATTACTTTAACATCTCTCGTAAGCAGATAAAAAGAGTAAAACTGAGTCAAAAAGTCCTGAACCATTTTTTTCTATTACATATAATAAAGGAGTAATTATTGAATAAATCAAGCCAATCAGCGCCGACCTTTAGCTGAACGCACGTCAGTGAACCACACGTCTGGTGTGCGTGAGCGCTCCGCGCGGCTCGCTGACATGGCCTGGCTAAAGGTCGGCGCTGATTGGCTTGATTTATTCAATAATTACTTCTTTATTATATGTAATAGAAAACAATGGTTCAGGACTTTTCGACTCAGTTTTACTCCTTCTACCTGCATACGAGAGATGTTAAAGTAATTGTCGGACACCCTGTATATGTATATTGCTGTAATATTACAACAATGTTACAAAGCAATATATTATTATATGATATTACAGCAAAGCTGCAACAATATTACGCGCTGTGCAGAATATATTTCTATAATCAGACACACAATAATATAGTAAAGTGACATGTAAGTAATGCATTTCTAAAATATCGCAGTAGTATTACAATGAGCTATACCGTGCCACAATATTTCTCAAATGTCGCAGTAATATTGTGAGATTATTACTGCGAGTGAGATTATCGTCTTGCACTATATTCAAAATATTGCTGTTATTAGAGTAAGATATATTGTCTTGCAATATTTCTCAAAAGTCACAGTAATATTACAATGAGATATGTCGTTTTGTAATATATATGAAATATTGCTGTAATATTACAGGAAGATATCATCATGTAATACTGCGGCAATATTTTATTATGATATATCACATTATAATAGTGGTGCAATATTATTGCAATATTGCTTTGCAATATGTTGGATTGTAATATTGCTGCAATAATGCTGCATTATCACAATATGATAATATTGCTGCAATATCGCAATATTGCTAAAATATTGTTGTACTATTACATGCTGTGTAAGATTAGACACTTTCGATAAGTGGCACCTCGTCGAGGTCAAACGATTAATAGTAGAGAGCTTTTTCATCAGAACAACAAGATGTATAAAATATCAAATTTTCAACCAATTTTATTAACATTCAATTTCTAAAAAATTTGTGCGGAGTCCTTTGAGCCCAAAAGTAATGTCGTTTTATTTAAGTTAAATAAAAAAAGACTTACTGTACAAAAAAGAAAAATGAGCAAAATCAACCGGTTTTACTGTTATTTTTTTTAAAGAATTAATATCTGGTTTAAAATATTAAAAGATAAATATAATGTCAACAAAAATACATTACCTAGTTTCATAAAGTCCCATGACACGCTGGCCAGCAGTATCAATGCCAACATATTCCATTCCAACCGAGCATTCGTTAAATCGAGTACGCATGAAACTTGTATCCATAACAAGTTTTCCCGTAGCAAACATAACATCTCTGAAAGTGATGGGCGAATATACTACGTAGACTAGATCTTTATGATTGTCAGGATGTATAGGACCTTCAATCCAACGAAGCGTGTTTAAGTCACCGCGTACCTATAAGTTTTTATGTATATAAATATAGAAAATTATAATATACAGAATAGATATTATATAAAAAAAACAATACGTAAAGAAACATGTAAATTACATAGTTGCGTATTGAGAGAAGAGGAAGAATTGTTGAAAAAGTTGGAGGAGTGGAAGGAGATAAGAGGCGTAAGAAAAAGAATGAAAAAAGGAGGAATGACTCTATTAATTACAGTACAATTCGATAGCGTACAATTTGACATCAAAGTATTCAACACCGTACGATTTAATACGGTACGATTCGACACGGTACGATTGGACACGGTACACAGTACATTTCCTGATATCATGTACTTTTTATAAGTAAATATTTTGTTTGCGACCGACATTATCGTACACGTGTGAGCGGAAGAGGGACTTCGCTTCTTTCCCTGCACTCCCTCCCCGAAAAATCTAACCTAGCCCTACCTGTGTTACTACTATCATTAATTGTCACGATGCACATTGCTTGTCACTGTAGTGTGTCCAATAAGTATCGTGTCGAATAATTCTGTGTGAAATCGTACGGTGTCGAATAATTTCGTGTTGAATCGTACGATGTCGAATAATTTTGTGTCTAATAAATTTGTGACAAATTTGGTATGTAGTAAATCTCTGTTCAATAATTTTGTGTCCAATAATTTGATGTCAAGCGATGTTGTCTGTGGTCAAACACGTATTGTAGAACACGCTCGAAAAGAGAAACGGTGAAAGGAGAAGAATGAAAAGAGATATTGAGAGTGTGAGTGTAGAGAAAAAGAGAAGAATGAATGGATAATGAAAAAAAGAGTACTAGCGGAAGCAGAGATATGTAGATAGAGTTTAGTGTATGTGTGTGTGTGTGTGTGTACAGGGTGTTGCATTTACATACAGGTCAGGGCGATGGATTGCCTACTGTTCCTCTGACAGGCGCGCACGCCCAAGCGTGCACTTCAAGTCTTACCGATATGGTTAGATTTTTCCAATAAATTATTTTAATAAAATATTCAAAACTGTAAATATGAAAAAAACATGATAGATATAAGCGGATTAATTAAAAAAGATAAGTAAGTGCGTAACAAAAGAATAAAACAAACTTTCTTTTCTTATGGCATATGTTTTCATGGAATTTTATAATGGTTAAACTGTCATTTTTCGTTAGATTTACTTCATTTTATTAATTTGTTTAAAAGTATCAATTTTTAAGAAAGTTTTTTATTTTACATAGTTTTTGCTATAATAAAATAAATAAAAACTAAAAAATAAAAAATATCAGAACTAATGTTATTTTTTAAATTTAGAATATTGAATAACACTCCATAAAACGTTACAAAAATTTTTGCAACATTTAAACCAATAAAAAATCGCGGCAGACGTAAGTGTCAGGAATTTATAGGATTAGTAAAAAACCGTTTACAAAAAAGGATTAGAATAACTTAATTAATTACTTAATAGAAAATTATTACTTAAAAGAAATTTATTAAGATAATAAAAAAATAATTATGTAAATATACTTAAAGAATTTTTGAATTAAGTTTCTTCTTATACTTAGAATATTTATATGTTAAAACAATAATAATTGCTTGTTGTTTTAATAAAAAAGATTTTATTACACCATATAATTAGATATTATCTTTTTGAAATTTCTAACTACTGTCGAAAAGATTCCAACGCTAAAAAAAGATTACAAAATTCTAGAAAAAGTTTGTTTTATTCTTTTTTTACACACTTACTTAGTTTTTTAATTAATCCGCTTATGTCTATCATGATTTTTTCATATTTATATTTTTGAATATTTTGTTAAAATAATTCATCGGAAAAACTTAACCATATCGGTAAGACTTGAAGTATACGCTCGGACGTGCGCGCCTGCCAGTAGGCAATCCGTCGCACTGATCTGTATGTAAATGCAACACTCTGTACGTAGGTAAGTAGGATAAAGTAGATGTATGATATGTCAAGTTAAGTTAGGTTAGGTTAGGTTAGGTTAGATTTGACCCCTAGCTCTTGGAGAGGATTGTCTCGATCCTTTTCCCTGATGGGAGGGGTAATTGGCCCTCTTTTGAGAGCCAGAGTTGGACCAAGCAAAGTGGTTCAACGAATGGAACGTCACAGAGGAAAAGCTACGCCGGACCGTTATGCGGATGACTCGCAAAAACACCGCTTGGTCTCAATGAAGTGTCCGGCAAGATATTGAGCTGTGCCTTTGGACAGAGTTCCTTGAGAAAGAAATCTTCGTCGACTGCCTGAAAACGGGGTGATTCCCCTCAGAGTGGAAGCGGGTCAATCTGATTCTCCGTAAGGAAGGTCGGCCTGCAGACTCGCCGTCCGCCTACCGGCCGATCTGTTTGCTCAACAAGACGGACAAGCTCTTACAGCGCGTCGTTGCGACCCGTCTCGTCGAGCACCTGTCGCAAGTGGGTCCCGACCTGGCCGACTGCCAATTCGGCTCCCGTCAGGGACGATCTACGATGGATGCTATTTTCCGCCTAAAGTCCCTCACAGACGCGTTGGTCAGGCAGGGAGAGAATTAGCGATTTCTTTAGATATATCCAACACTTTTAACTCTCTTCCTTAGGACATGCCCAGCATAGAATGGGCACTGAATTGTTACATGGTTCTGTCTTATCTGAGTAGAGTCCTCGGAGACTATTTTCGCAGGGAAATCAAGTACGTCGGACGGTACGGATCACCGCATAGAAAGGAGATGCACCGGGGTCCCGCAGAGATGAGTTCTGAGCTCTCTGCTATAGAACCTCGGATACAATGTAGTGATCCAGGTCGCTCTGTCCAGAGGTCTGCTCCCACTTGCGTAGCAGATGACACTCTTATTGTGGCCTCTGGTACAGACTGAAGGAGAACCAGATTGTTCGCCAAAGCAGGCACCAACTGTATCGTTGGCCACATTGAGAGACTGTGTCTAAAAGTAGCCGTCCACAAGACGGAGGCCATGTGGTTTTTTTTCTCCGCGGGAGACCATGTGGTTTTTTTCTCCGCGGGCGGCCTCCGGGGCTCAGTCTTCAAGTAGGTAAGACACGAGTCGAGGTGCATATCTTAGTCTCTACCTCGACCCGAGATGGCGCTTCGAGGAGCATTTCGCCCGGCTGGCTCTTAGAGTTCGCAAGGTCGCCAACGCTTTGACGCGTTTGCTGCCGAATCTTGGGGATCCGAAAGAGAAGGTTCGCTGTCTATTTGTAAACGTGGTCCACGCGGTGGCCTGTATGGGTCACCGCTGTGGGCGGAAGCCGCGGTGGGGGCAGGGGCTCCGAGCAAATTTGATATGCTTCGCGCCGCTCAACGAGTGGTCGCTCTCCGCGTGATACGCGGCTTCCGCACGGTGGCCGCGGAGACGGCGGGCGTCTTAGCGGGGGTATCTCCCCTGACCCTTCTTGCACTAATGTACTCGGCTCAGTACTTTTGCCAAGTCGAGCTGTTGCGGGTAAGTCTCGCGGGTGATGCATTGCGGGAGGCTCTCGCTAACTCGAAGCGCCAAGCCCGACAACAACTGCTTTGCGAGTGGGAGGAGCACCTAGACGAGTCGCGCGCGGCCGCTCAGGTAGTCGTCAGGGTTGTCCGACTCCGCTTGAAAGTGTGGTCGAAGAGAGAAGTCAGACGCCTTACTTACAGGGTGATTCAAGTGCTCACTGAGGATGCTTTGGTGAGTACCTGAGTCGTAAGGTAAGGAGTCAAAGGCACAGTGCCACAGATGCGGGACGGTCAGTGACTCGGTCGGCACACTGTGGAGGAGTGTAATTTTTTATTTGTTTACTTTATGTAAAAAAATGTTAGGTTAGGTTAAGTTAGGTTAGATTTGTCGCGAATGCCCTTGAGGCCCTACGGGTGTCACTCCGGGGCTCACAGCGCGAGCTGCGCCAGGCCATATTCACGGCAAAGAAAGCGGCATGGGCGGATCTAATATCCACCGTGGATGGCGACCCTTGAGGCACGACCTATAGAGTCGTCATGTCACGAATGCGTCCCTCCGGCCCTCCGATAACAGAGAGCATGGAGGTGAAGGAGGTCCTTGAAGCGGTCAATTCCTTGTTCCCGAGGCGGGCGGTGGAATGCCCAGAACAGATGGGACGGATCCTCTGGCGCCCGGAATATGGGATCACGGACCGCGAGATGTCGGAGGCCGTGAGGAGAATGGTGCGCCGACGGACTGCTCTGAAGCTCGATGGCCTGACGGGCTCGGTTTGGGCCCGAGTGGTGGCTCTGGCTCCCTCTCTGGTGCACAGATGTCTGGATAACTGCCTCAAGCGAGGCAGTTTTCCGGTAGCGTGGAGACGATCACGTCTTGTGCTTATTAAAAAGCCGGGGGCCCGCTCTTCCTTCAGGCCTATGTGCCTGATGGATGAGTTGGGCAAATTATTCGAGCGAGTCCTATCCGCTCGGATAGAGGATTGCGTCTCCAGGCGAGGCGGACTGTCGCCGCGGCAGTTCGGCTTTTGGGCCGGGCTGTCTACGTGCGATGCGATCGCGCTGATGCGAGCGGAGGTGGAGAGCCACACTCGCGAGGGACGAGTGTGTGTGGCGGTAAGCCTGGACGTGAAAAACGAGTTCAACACCATATCGTGGGAAGCCATCCGGGCCGCTGCGCGGAAGTGGGGTTTCCTTCCGTAGTTGAGCGACAGGCGTGTTGTATTCCCCTACGGGGACGGACGGGTGAGGTCCCGTCTCGTGTGGCGTTCCTCAGGGTTCCGTCTTGGGCCCCCTGTTATGGAATCTGGGGTTCGATCCGGTGCTGCGGAAAGGCCTCCCTGATGGATGTTCCCTCGTGTGCTACGCGGACGACACCCTGGTACTGGTAGGAGGAGAGACTGATGGACGGGCAACACACAGGGCCTCTGTTGCGATCGCGCTTATGGGCGGGCTGGGCCTAGAGCTGGCCTCGGCTAAAACTGAGGTGGTGGCCTTCAGGCCTCGGGGCCGCTGCGGGGGACCAGTGGAGGTCTCTGTCGGCAATACCCGGGTGGTCTCTGGATCACTAATGCGGTACCTGGGGCTGT